CCTCCGAGGCTCACTTCATGGAGCAACCTGAGCGTGTCCCCTTCTGGGATAATGGATTCCCCCCACCCCCTCTAGTGCCTTCTATATACATTTGCCTCCACCAGGACCTCCTGTGGATTTCTGTGGCTTAATGCTGTGCGGACTCTGTTCACTACTCCCAGGCTGCTCTGCAAATGATCACCAGACTTCTTCAATTGACCTCAGGAGGATCTCTTGGTCCGATATAGATTTTAGGGGCTGCTATGCACACCTCAGGGCTTTCTATCGCCACGTGGCCAGAAGGAACCTGCCTGTCGTGGTAAGGAGCCATCAAAGCTTTGGGTGACTTCTGGCGTCCTCCTCTCTTCTGCCTGTTGGTATCTACGATTCTCTTTTCTTTCCATGGAACTGGCAGGGAGGGAACTTCCTTTTCCAATGCTTCCAAAAACCAAGGAAGAAGCCGGTTTATCTTTTTCGTTGCAGGTCTGCAGTTCAGGCTGTCAAGGGTCAGTGGACAGCCGGGATACTGCACATCTCCCTCCCCTCCAGCCTGTTTTTGCAAAGAAGCATCGGGGCTACCTCTTGAGAAATGGACTAGCTTAGGCTTCCAAATGGCGATTTATCCTGGTTAAGGCACTCTGGGGAGATTTCTTCAGGATGTCCTCTGCCCTGAGCTTCGGGTCAGGCCAAGAAAAAATGCCAGACGGTGTAATACACTGACTGGACAGCAGAGGGCAGTGCTTACTAGGTTTACCAACTGCAAAACCGGCACGGGTGAGAGGGCCTTAGCCGTAATGTGGGCGCACCAATTAGCTGCTTTTCTGTGGGGCTGGTGCTATGTTGCTTATGTTTCTGTATGATCACATGGCTTCCTTCTATAAAGCTAATTTCTGCCCGCTTTTCAGCATTAAAGACTTTATTCCTCCCCTCCCTCTCTCTTGTCTGGGGTGTAGCAACAGGACTCCAAAGTTGTGCACGTGAAGTTAAAACCCGCTGTGCCCCAACCTGAAGTTCTCTGGAGGAGTTGGCTCCCCTTGATCTCCCCCACTGCAGCAAAATCCAGCCCATCTCGCTGGGAAAGGCTATGTTTGCTCCCACGGGCAAGCTCCATGTGGGTCAGAGAGTTCCTTACAGCTCCCCCGCCCCACATTTGCTCTTCCCAATTCTGCATCCATCTCCTGATGGTGCAAATGGGTCAGGATAACTGTGACCTCAGAGAGCATCCAAATATGTTTTCTGAGTAATGTCCATGAATTGTTTGTTTGGGAGATGGAATACACATTACTACCCTTAACCCTTTCCAGAAATAGTTCGTTTTCAAGGAAAAATTTGTTTTCCTCTCACTCCCCTCCCTTGCTGATGAAATGACATGCATCTGATAAACCAGCTTGCGAGCGTGAGGTGTGAACATTCCCA